CTCGAAATGGGCGAATTCCTGTTGTTCTACCACTCTTCCACTTGCAAAGGGGGCTGGTGAGACAAGGACACTGGTGGTGACAGATCAGGCAGGGATCGCTCCAGAGAGGGACGCCGTGACGGACGGGGCCGAGGAACGACACCTGCGAGGCCAACCTCCTCGGCGTCAACATCCACATCCTTCTGGATCCTCCCCGGGAGCCCAGAATCGAACCGACAAGTGGGACTGGCGATCGAAATGAATCGGATCGCCGGAAATTGCCAGCCAAGTCGGGAGACGTCGATTCGGCAGAAATCGGCAGGCGAGGAAGGCCTCCGTTGAGAAACCGAAATCCCAATCGGAATCGAAAGTCGAATCGAATCGGCATCGGAATCGATCGACATCGAACCGAATCGAGCCAGAGGAATCGAAATGAGCCCCGGTCCTCCCGTCCCCCACCAGGAGCCCCCTCTCTCACCACGGGCAGGATCGAATCCAGGGGGGATGAACGCGCGGCAGCGGGCCTCGGCTGCGCGAGCCGCATGGGGCCAAGGAGAACCCCGCGGCGCACAACACTTGATCCAAAATCGTAGCAACGTTCTCTCCCCACGTCCTCCTCCTCCTCCTCCTCCTCCTCGTCCTGCTCCTCCTGCTCCTCCTGCTCCTGCTCCTCCTCCTCCTCCTCCTCCTCCTCCTCCTCCTACTCCTCCTCCTCCTCCTCCTCCTCCTCCTCCTCCTCCTCCTCCTTCCTCTCTTCCTCCTCCTCTCCTCCTCCTCCTCCTCTTCTCCGCCTGCTTTCTGTCCACTTCTGCCATATCCCCTTCTTCGTTCATGCTCTCCCTCCTCCACCTTCCAAGCCGCTGAGCTGACATCGCTGCGGCGCACCCCTGGAGAGCCCGCGCAGCCAATCAAGACTCGTCGTCGTCCTTCTCCTCCTCCTCGTCCTCTCACTCCTCATGTCCCCCGTCCTCATCCTCGCCACCACACCGCAGCTCCAGAGGAAGGACAGGCTCCCCTAACTCCTCATCCACAGATTATGGCAACCATAACCGCTGAGTCATAATACTCATCATCACAACCATCATTACAGCCATCAGCATCACCATCGTCAGCATCATTATCACCAGCACAGCCACAATCAACATCATCGGCATCCTCCTCGCCACCATCATCAACACCATTATCATATCAATCCTGATTGTCACCGTCACCGTCATCACTGACATCATCATCGCGATGCGCATCATACTCATACTCCTCAACATCATGATTCACATCATCACCCTCGCCATCATCATCTTCCTTACCATCACCATCATCACCACCACCACCATCACAGGCATCATCATCATCATCATCATCATCGCCACCATCATCATTATCATTCGCTCCATCATCATCACCACCACCGCCACCACCACTATCATCATTATCAGTATCATCATCACCAGCATCATCAACATCAGCGTCAGCAGCATCATCACCATCACCACCACAGCCAGCATCATCATCACCATAAACTCATCAGCATCATCATCAGCATCATCATCGTCACCATCATCATCATCCTCATCAGCATCATTGTCATTATGAACAACATCATCATCATCACCATCACCGTCATCATCAACATCAGCATCACCGTCGCCATCGCCATTACCATCGCCACCATCATCATCGTCGTCATCAGCATCACAATCATCATCAGCAGCATCAGCATCAACATCAGCATCAGCATCATCAACATCATCGTCATCATCATGATCTGAATCATAATCTGAATCCTCACATGTCTTGCGTCCTGTGACCCCCGTCATCAGCAGAACCAGCAGCGTCAATCACATCGGCATCATACTCACCGCCATCGCCACCATCACACCATCCCTGTCCTAGTCATCCTTCTCCTCTTCCTCCTCCTTCTCCTCCTCCTCCTCCTCTCGCATCCAGCGCTGCTTTTTGCAGCGGCCCGCGGCGCTCCGGACTTGTACCGAGTTCGCGCATGCGGCGGGTAAGCCCCCCCAGTGGCCCGCTGAGCAGCCGCAGGAGGAGCATGACGGGGAGGGAGGGAAAGAGGGAGGGAAGGGGGGAGGGAGGGAGGGATGAGGCGGAGGAGGGCGGAACAGGAAGAGGCGGGGGTCCTCACCATGAGTATCGCTAGCGCTGTGGCTGCCGATGGCGATTGCGATCCGTGCAACCAGCAAGAGGACTTTTATCACCAATACTGCTGCGGGCATTGACGACATCCACACCACTGGCACCATCGGCATCGGCGCGAACATGGATGACACCCTCTGTTGGCAAGAGGCCCGAAACAGATTGTTATACAGTGCTGAAGAGGGCACACTAGAGAAAAACTACGTCATGACCGTGCGATACGGTGGGGGCATTGGGCAAGGAACCCTTAGAGAAGGAATCCAGGGTCTGGAAGCCAGTGGAAGTCCAATCGTGGATTGGCCATGGACATCACCGTCGCCCTCCATTGTCTGAGGCCTCCTGGGCACGTTCCTGAACGAACGGCCCCACCGTACTCCACTGCACTACGCTCTACGGCGTTCTACAGAGACCGGGGACAACACGGGCCACGACCAGAGGCCACGACCGGAGGCCACGGGCCACGACCAGAGACCCGAGGCCACGGGCCACCGCTTCCAGATCGCGCGGTCCCGTCACTGGCCTGAGAACAACTGTGCGGGACACTTACAGACAAGCTTCTCAGGAAATCACCGCGATCACCAGAAGTTACTGCACGAAATCGGCACTATCGCTGTGCAAGGTCTGCCAGTGTATTGCAGCTGTGGTCCTGAGGTGACCCTCTCCTTGTGGCAGATGTGAATCCTGAATGATCCGCGAGCGTGGCCGTGTAAGTTGTGGCGGGTTAGAGTGCCTCGTCATTGACGGGCAGGCGTTCTGAAGATTCCTAGGCCCACCCTCGTGGCCTCCCGCCCGGGAGACCCCACAGAGGTCGCCAAGCAGCCCCCAAGACGCAACCCAACGAACATCCAACGCCACGGCTACGCCACGATGGGGCATCGCGCAGGTGCGCTTCCTAGACAGCCCAGAAAAGATTATACCAGGTCTGCCCGGACCCCTGGGTAGAGTCGCCCTGCATGCATGTCGATGCTGCGCTGGCACGATGGCGGTTGTTGCCGCGGCCAGCCGAACACAAGGTGCCTTCGGGTTGTAGTGAGATCGCCGCTCACGACGAGACGCATTGAAAACCCATTCTCGTAAAAGACATACACTGGATGCGGGCAGACTCTGACAACTGAACTATTCAAGGCGCGCTGAGCAAGAGGAAACGAAGGACCAGCAGCTGAGAGGTCGCCGCGCGTCGAATTACGGCGGCATCGCCAGGTCAAGTAGCAGCGACAGCTGCTCGTGCCTGATCCCCCACATACCCGCTTCTCGAGATCAAGACGACGAAGAATAAAACGAGGAAGCCACTAGCAGAAGAGCAGCGGGGACGCATGACGCGACAAAGGATGCCAGAAGCAAATAACATGCCAAATCGACGCGGAAGGGCGCCAGATATTCATCTTCCCACGCAACAGCACGAATGTGGCATCTGTACTGCAGAGTAGACAATGCACAATTCAATGTTGCGATTGGTCGAGATCGAAACATCTAGGGCTCCCTCGAGTTTACCTGTCTGCGGTCTGGACGGTTGTTCCTACTCGTGGTGGTCCAAAAGTTTGTGCAGGTTCGCGTTGGGCCAGGCAGGGCGCGTGTCGGCCCAGGATGGGTGCAAAAGACCTTTCCTACTGTTGGTCGTACTTGACAGACACACAGCAAAAAGAGAGAAGAAGCATCCCGCCACATTAAATATAATAATACATACATACACATGCACATGTATATACCCATGGACTGTTCCTTCGGCGCGCCAGTGACACCAATGGGCGATGAGCAGGTCAGGTGGGGCACGCACAGGCCGAACGTACCACCTCACGTATGTAGCATCGCAGCAAAAACGCACACACACACACACGAACACACACACACACACACACGCATACAAACAAACACACACATATATATATAAATATATATGTATAATGTATATATATACACATATATATGTATACATATGTATACATAGTTTTACATCTATTATTTTCAGTCGTCGCGGCCACGCGCGCGGCGGTGCGGAGTAGGTCAAGTCAAACGAACGCTCGCGGGCACACACACACACACATTTTGGCGATAGCGGCCTCGCGCGCAGCGACGAGGCAAAAAAACTCGGCCAGGGGAGGATTAAGAGCGCACGCGGCCAGCCCCTCAGAAGGATCGACAATGCCGTGCGCATGCCCAGGCATGGGCAGAGAGGATGGAGGCGGGCGGGTGGACAAGCAGCCAGCAGTGAACGAAGGGAAGAAGTGGAGGTACAATGCGGCCGACACGGCAGAGGCGAGAAGCCAAGCGACGGAGACAAGAAGACAGGCACAGGCAGCCACAAAGGCGACAGCTGCACACTGGCGAAGCAGCACGGGGCGAACGGCCAACAACACGCAAAAGGCGCCAGACCACACACGCACAAACACACACACACACTCACACACACACACACACACATCATACACACACGCACAGATGCACACACGCGCACAAATTCACTTTTCGGTCGCACGCAGCTGGGGCGAGAAGCCGCACGAACGCTAAAAGTCACTCGCAGCGCTCGCATGCGCCCGCCGCACTCATTTCGGCACACCCTTCACACGCGTCGTGGCCCCATGGGGAGCTCCACCGAAGGCTCCAGTGGCTGCGTTCGCATTGGCCCGCCGCACTCATGCGGGCTCACCCCTCACACGATTCGTGGCCCAATAGGGAGCTCCACCGAAGGCCCGAGTGGCTGCGCGCGCGCGTGCGCCCGCCGCATCCAAAGCGGCACACCCCTCACTTTTCGTGGCCCCATATGGAGCTCCACTTGTCCCAGCCTCTGTCGAGGCAGAACTCCGAGAAGGGAGGGGTCTAAAGAGGGCGAGCGGGGGACACTTTCTCTAGACGCAATCATGTCACTAAGCCAAAGGCTGTGGGCACACGCACACGGGCTGAAGCACGAAGCGGGCGAAACGAGAAACGGGAGCGGAAGGGAGAGAAGATCCCTGGAGGTCCCCAGGGTCCCTGGGACGAGGGTCACAATGGGACAGCGGACCCAATTCTCGCGGGCTGAAGATCGGGTGCCTGTGAGCTAGTGTACACGTACGTGGGCTCTCGACACGGTCTCCTCTCTTCCCTCTCCTCTCCTTCCTCGCGTTCCTCAACCTCTTCCTTTCCTATCCCAAATATCTCCGTCGTGCACCTGAATAGCCATACTCGGGCCCGGCTCGTCACGCTCGAGCTCTTGGAGGAGCGATGTCGGATTGTCAGGGCGCAACAGTTACGTCGAGTCGCGGTGTCGAAATCCCAGGAAAGGTGTCCTGACACGGTTCAAAATCGCCAAGACGCAACAATCAGGTTGGTTCGTGGCGTTGAAGTCCCGAGAAAGTGCTCTGGCACGTTTCAGGATCTTCAAACGGTTGTCTCCCAACGGGGCACTTCCCTCAGTGGAAATGAATCCGTGCCGGGGCCTATGAAGAGGGAGCTTGGATAGAGGGTGTATTGCAACATCGTTGATGAGTCTTGGGTTTGCACTGGTCCTCCTCCTGCTCATCCTTCCGCTCCTGCTCCTGCTCCTGCTCCTGCGTCTGCTCTTGCTCCTCCTCCTCCTCCTCCTCCTTCTCCTCCTTCTCCTCCTCCTCCTCCTTCTCCTTCTGCCCACCCCCACCCCTGTCCGCCTGCTGGGCCGCCACCTGAAACTGGCTGCGCAAGCGCTCCAGTGCACCGCGCGCGTCGTCCCACAACGGCTGGGCCCCAGCTCCGTCGGCTGCAGCCCCTGGCCGCGGGTCCCAGCATCCCCCCCATCCCTCCTCCGTCCTCTCTTCTCCACCCCCCTCCTCTTCCTCCTCCTCCTCCTCCTCCTTCTCCTCCTCCTCCTCTTGCGCCTCCTCCTCCTTCTCCTCCTCCTCCTCGTCCTCCTCATTCTCCTCCTCCTCCTCTTGCGCCTCATCCTCATCCTTCTCCTCCTCATCTTCCTCTTCCCTCATCTCTCCTCCGCACTCCTCCTCCCCTCCTCATTCTCCTCCTCCTCCTCCTCCTCCTCCTCCTCCTGCTCCGCCTCCTCCTCCTCCTCCTCCTCCTCCTCCTGTTCGTCGTCCTCTCCTCTTATTCCTCCTCATCCTGCTCCTCTTCCTCCTCTTATTGCTCCTCCTTCTCCTCCTCGTCCTCCTCCTCCTCCTCCTCCTCGTCCTCTTTCCTCCTCCTTCCTCCTCCGTATCCTCGCCAAACTGGTTTTCCTCTGAGGCGCCCATCTGGCAGATCAAGCTGGGCGGGCTGCGAACGAGGACTAAGATGAGGACGAGGAGTGCGATTCGGGCACAACTCGACAGGCGGGGCAAGTATGCCTGCCACGTCCAGAAGCTCACTTGCGCCCAGTGGTGGGCCCACCGAAGCACATAGTGCAATGCGAAAATAAGATTCGCGTGGTTCCTCGGCTAGCTTGCGCCACTATTCACGCCTCCCTCGGCTGGTCTAAGGCTTGAGCATCTGGCTGGCCCGCATCAGTACTTGCCCTGGTTCTTGCCCTTGTTCTCTCTCTTGCCCTAGCTCTTCCCGTAGCCGCAGCCGCCATAGGTATCGTTTCGCCAGCTGTCGTATCGTTCGTAGCCTTCAAATTTGTACTTTCCTTTGCTGCAGCTGTCGTAGCCGTTGTCCGCAGTCGTCGCAGGACTTGCCATTGCCCTCGCTGGACCGCTGCGTGCGCGCGTCTAAAAATAGCCGCGCCCCCAAACTGTCCAAGGAGAAATTGGCACGTTAATACAGCTACAGTCAGGACGCCTGGTAAGGACGCAAGACCCTTGGAGGCCGAAATTGGGATTTCTTGGGCGACGGGTGACCAGTGAAAACGGCAAAGGACGGGTCGCAGAGGCAAGGACATAAGGGTACCCCAGACTAGGGCACGCGTCCTTACTAGGCGCGCTGACTGTATGGATTAGTCGGTGGAACGACACGAACCTTGACGCTTGAGCACGCGGTATATTTCATGCATTTGAGCCTGCAGTGGTCCAGAGTAAATCAAAACAATTCGGCAGAGTGGTCTCCCACGGTCTTGGCATATGACCCTGGTTTCAATCACGTTGACGGCAAGGAACTCGCTGCTCATCGGGCCTGCAGTTCCGCTCCACAATTCTCGCACTAGGTCCTTCATCGACCTTCCATCTTGGCAACGACCTGAACACGTCGATAGCATAAACAGGACTTTGGCAGTGCGCACCTCCTGACCGTCAACTGGATTTTCACAAGCAGCTTGCAGCAAACTTCGAAACAATTCAGGCTCTCTACCTGTATCGTCTTTTCCTCTAACACGGCCAAGCTCGCAGCCGATTGCCGATACCGTTTTCGAACGAATATTCACTGACGAAGCTGCGGCTCCAGCGTTGGAGTGGCTGGGGGAAGTTGCACAGCCTTCTTACAGGAAACAAGCAAGACTGGTTTCAATGCGTAGATACCGGTGTTGCCACACGTCTCCTGAACAATGTGTGGGCATCCAGATGAGGGTTCTGCCTATCTACCGCGGGGTGACTGCTCGCGTTGCTGAAACTCGACCACCTTTGCTGGCCGAGCCGCTTGATTCACTTCGCTGGCATCAGCAACAGTGAATGTCCTCAGTTGCTCTGACTGTTGATACACTTTCTCGCAGCCTGCCGAAAGCAAGGGGCAGGGATATTTAAAGAAAACGTGCTTGCGCCAATGGCACGAAGATGTCCAAACCAATGAGTTCCAGAGTGTTTGCAAGGCACCCCACAAAAGGCTGTTACTGGTTCTGGCCAAGCCAAAGGCTTGGACAAATAATGCACTGTTTTAGTTGACACAATCCTTTTCGAGCAAACGGTATGCAAAACCTTGTGAGCTATCATGCCTTTCAAACTCATGCTGCGAATGGCGACGCTTCGAAACTTCTGCGATCCCTCCCCCCCCGCAAAGACTCTGCGTTGCTAAATTGGATCAAGTAAACCCGCACGGAAACGTCAAGACGGGGCGATCGAAGACAGCTTCTCCTGCAAAATCCAGCAGGACACTCGACACTGCAAAACTGCGGTAGAAGTAAATCCATATGTTCCTCTCTTGGGTTTCGATGTTCGCCTTCTGCACGAGTCTTCTTCGCGAGGACATCCGCTTGGCATGCACATGCTTAGCCTGATAGTGTAGAGCCATCGTGCGAACATTGGCTGCGATATTTTGTCTTGTTGCAGAACCTGCTTTGATGCAAGCACCGATATCCCTTTCAAGCCAATCGTAATGTCTTCGGTGCCGCACGCGCTGGGTAACATTACTTGGAAGGCACCAAACAATCCGTCCTCTGTAGTCCCCATGCGCGCGCCAAGAAACTTCAATATCCAATTACCAATACTGCGTGCCATTTGCATTCGACAGGGTCGCCAGGAGAAATTTTATGTTTCGCAGCCGTCATGCTCACTGGTTCTGTTCTAGGCCAACATGCCCCCCTCTCCAGGGTACCCAGCACCCGAAAACGATCCCACATCAAATATGTCCGCCTGTCTGCGGGGATTTGTGAAGCCCACATTTACCGCGCCTAGCTGTTACGAACGTTGGTCCCCGACACACGTCAGAACCGACAACTTTACAAAATATTCTCTGGGTCGCGTCTGGCAACAGACCTGTGTCATCCCCGGTAGGGAAAGGTTTCAAGCCAACCTGTAGATCAGGATCACTCTGATTGACCTGTTCACCATCTGTTGACTCGCTGGCATCAGAAGTCACTGGAGTCCTTGCACATGCTTTGCAACTCAGGCAATTCGCGAAGGGAGTTGTTTCTCGGCCATCTGGTTTCTGACATGTCCATCATGTGCAATAGATACAAGCTGTGAGCTTACCCGTGCTGGCTCATCAGAAACATCTCTCAGAACGACTCCTGGTCCTCAAAGCGGTTGCAAAACTACCCCTGTCCTTAAAGCGGTTGCAGAACCATCTCTCAAAACCACTCCTACTCCTTCTACTCAAAAAAAAATTCAAAACTACTCCTGGTCAGAACCATGTTGCAATAAAACGGTCATCCTGCTCCTTACACTCCTTCGACTCATTATGTTGCTTCTCCTTTTTCCGTCATCATCATCGTCTTCCTCTTCCCCCTGCTCATCCTACTGCTCATCCCACCACCTCGCTGTTCGACAATATACACAAAGCTTCCCAGGGGGGTTCTGGAGATCAAGGTCCTCACAATACTCGATGTAGGGCACCCCAAGTCGGCGGATATGAAAGTATTCAGCGCAACAGGATGGGATGGGTGGGAGGGGTCGAATGTTAGATGTGGCTCGGGCGCACCAGCCTTGCCCCAGTCCCTCTCCCCCTTCCTCCCTCTTGAAAGGCATCTTGGATTCTTCCCTTTGAGGCTTGTCTAAAGCCTCCTTTGCGGCCCCCGTGGGACCCCTCACCCCTCCCTGACTCCAGATCCTCCGTACTGTGGGCGATTTTGCAAATGTGGCGGCCCTACTTTGCCATCGCTGTTTCCGCCATACCTTGCGGATACATCCGCCCAATGTTTCTGAGGCGGATATTTCCGCCCCACTCTTTCGCATCATTGGGGCGCATGTCGAACATAACTTTTCAATAGGAAAGTCGAGCAGGTACAGGGCGGACGCAGCCGCAAGAAACCCTCGCAAGAAATCCAGCCCTGGACATCCGCGCGCGAGGTGCGTTTGTTGGGGGGAAGCCAGAGCACCCCGAACGCAGCAACTTCTTTGATTGCCGCGGGGAGTCACCGCGCAGCGTGCGGAGCGAAGAAACCGCACATCCAGTTTTTGATGCGCGCCCCCACTGCACGGCGGATCAGGAAAGGGCTTTCTCCATCGGCCCCTCCATCCCCGCAGCGCGGGCCTGGTAGTGCCACCGGCTCGATGACCGGGACGGGGCGCTGCCGCAACGAAGCCGGAGCCGGCGCGACCGGCAGGATCTGACCGCTCGGGTCCTGGGGGGGCCCAGACGGGCAGTGGGTTCGTTCTAGGTCATCATCTCGTCCAGGTCCTCCTCCTGCTCCTCCTGCTCCTCCTATCCTCCTGCTCCTCCTGCTCCTCCTGCTCCTCCTGCTCCTCCTCCTGCTCCTCCTGCTCCTCCTCCTCCTCCTCATTCATTCATTCATCATGAGGCGGACGGTTCGACGCCTATACAATAGGAGGGGACGAGATAGGATGGACAAGGAAAGTAGAGCACGTACTCGCAGTGGAGTGATGCTAATCCATGCAAGCCTGGGTTACTGCCAAAGGCGCAGTAGGTGGAATGGGAACGGGCAAAGAGAAAGCAAAGCGGAGTCCTTCGCCCAGGGTGCGCGGTACTGCCGATGGCGCGTCACACTACTTAGTGCGACACCTTCGCATTACTATTTTTTAAAGTGAATGGACACTGGCGCTGACCAGCTAGGTCAGGGCATCGCCTTCGTGCGAAGGCCCTTCCCGCATTTGAGCAACAGTCAGTGGGGGAGGGAGGTTTGTCAGGAATGGGTCCTCCACTGGTAGTCGTACCGCTGGGTGACCGTAGAAGCGTGGCCTGCCCGAGTGGGTACATAGGTCGCCATCATGTAGTGCCATATAAGGATCCAGTGGCATATGAAACTTCCTAACGCCCAGGGGGATATCCCAACCATCATCATCCATTCGTAGGTCGATACAGTGTCGAAGCGTACTCTCTTCTCGCATCGTCCACTGTAGTGGTCTGGTGTCATGAAACGTGCCCATGGAAAGACCCCTAGGGACCCCGCCCTCTAAACAAGCACAGAGCTCAGGAAACTTGATTCTAATACGCTGAAACAATGAGGCGGCAAGCATTTTATTTAGGTCCCTGGGAAAACCTTGTGCAGGTGCAATGTCAGGCCATCCACCATGTCGATCAGAGGGGGTGGGGGTATGTGAGCGATGGTTGCAAAGAGTCCCCCCGCTCCCAAGATCCCTGATCCAGGTGTCCAGTGTGGGTAAGTGGACAGAAAGCAAGGTGGTGGGTCTTCTACGGGAGAAACCAAATCGACACTGGTGGATGGTGTGGGTTTGTACCCCTTCCAGTGATATTAGATCTTTTACTTCAGTGAGGAGCCAGATGCTTGGGCTCCCAGGTATATAATCCGCGTGTGCTGGATGGGACAAGAGAGCAGGAACATGATATTTCCAACACACATAGATTAGAGAGAGAGCAGCACGGAGAAGTTGGTTGCCTGACGTGACCTGCATGCTAGCAGTCGACGAGAGATTGCCGTGTCCCCACAAATGCTCTTCCGAGCGGTGAGCTCTGGTAGCAATACTCGCTTCTGCCGAGTGTTGGTGCCTGGGGCTCAACCACGTCTGATCTGGCGGTGCCGCAACAACTGCACATACTCTTCCCGATCTAATCATATTTGCCCATATGGAAGTGGTTTGTATATCTGTAAGATCACCAAGATGGGAATCGAGATGGGCATCCAAGCTTAGAACAGCTAACCGAGTGGGGAAGGATCCCTGGAGCTTCTCAATGTGGTCTTGGAGGTCCCCCCGGTGTCTGTGAGGAGGGGAAAGAAGCAAAATGAACTTGAGGGGCCTAACAGGAACCCTGGGTGAGCCCAGACAAGGAGGAGGAGGAACTGGGCTCGGGGCAACCGGTGGGACCAGGTTGCTGCGTGCACGCCTTACATGGGTTCGGGGGTGTATGGGAGGTCCAGCACACTGGAGCCAAGGAAGAGCAGCATATGTCTCTGATCTGCCAGCCCGCCGATTGGTTGCAGCCTCCATCCGTGCTTCCTCTCTTGCCTGTGAAATCTCCTCGCTGGTGGGGCGATGTCCAGAATCAATCCACGCTAACTTACACGCTGGCGCATTAGATAGATGCTTCACTAAGCGGGAGACATGACGAAAGTCCCTGAGGCAAACCTGACAGCATGTCCCCGTGGCCAGCATGGTGGGTGAGGTGGCAGACTTGTGAAATTTGCCAATGTGTGAAAGATGCTGCTGCGCAGAGCCAGAGACATGTCCACAATCATAGCACACAAAACGCACAGTCTCGGGGGGGGAAGAGGAAGCGATGGGAGTGTGGAGCGAAATAGTGCGTAGGGTATGCTTCCAAACCTCGTGGTGAGCAACATCCTGATAGTATCGTTTGGCCCTGGTGATAGCACTGGAGAGTGCGGTGCGAAAGCGTTTCGTTTCTGCACGAACAAATTGGGGCCAAACGTCGTCTTCACTTGGGATTTCTGGGCAAAAAAAGGCTAGCCACTTGATATCCTCCTGGATGAGGGATATCCATCCCTTGGGGTCGCTCCAATTCAGGTCGAGTAGAGCACGAAGCACAGGGGGTCCCTTGTGAATGATTCTATGCAGAAAACGTAACCTACCAATGGTAAGAACAACACGGGTCGGTAATCTGCGGGTGTCAAGAAAAACGCGTGCATTGTTATAGCGAAAGTCCGCATTATTGGTAGCAGACATGCCTAGAGCAACACGGTACACCGAAGTGTGAGCAGTTTGAACTCTGCGCCACAAGGAATCATTCAAGCGTGTCCACACTGTAGCACCAAAGAAGAGGACAGAGGAGGCAAGAGCCTCAGCCCATGTAATTTTGCTAGCCATGGGTAAGGCTTTCCGTGGGGCTACAGTGTTGCGAATGGGTTTCAGCGCCCTGGAAGCTTTCGCAGCACGTGCGGAAACATCAGGCCCCAGGGAGCCATCCGCCGCAACCTGGGACCCGCGGATTTTCTGGACCAGAGCAGTGGGGAAGGTGAAACTCCACTTCACAGAAGTAACGCCACTTAGTGCTTTGCCTGGTAAATCTCTGAGAGCTTTGCGAGAATTAGTGCCATTCAATGAAACTAAGATCTTTGTTTTGTCTGAGTGTATCGAAAACCCTGCTCTGGCAGCGGAACAGTAGACTGTCTCAGCCAAAGAGAGTAGCGTGGCCTGAACGTTAAGGGGATCAGGGATGGGAGACATTAGAGTCATGTCATCAACGAATGAGAGATCTGGAGACATCACATCCCAATCACGAAGAGAGGACAGGCGGTTGGTCGGTGCATCATACACCTCCTGCCATGCTAGTCCATCACGCTGAAGTCCATCGCGTATGTCTTGATGTACTAATCTGAACACTGCGTTGAAAATGTCGGTGGCAGAAACCGTTCCTGGCCTGGATCCTAAATGTGGGGCCACAAAGTCAGCGGCGTCTCGAACACGCCAGTAGGTCCCTCTCTGGGTTTCCTGCACTAAACGAATGAGGTCATCCTGGGGGAAGTGGCGATGCAATAAAGGGCCCTGCAGAAGTTGGGCCGTGGCTCCCTGTATAAGCACCTCGGGGAGAGACAAGGATGCAAGGGCATCTTCTAGCCGCTGATCCTCGCCAGGTAAGGACAAGGCGAGCTGCTTGATGGTGGTGTAGAAAGCCTGGACGAGGTCTAAACATAAGACGGCCCCCGAGGTGCGTGTATGTATGCAATGTCTGAGGAATGTCCTGACCGACAGCGTAATCATCTCTGTGCTCCTTCCTCCAACTCCCCCACATTGCTCAGCAAGTAGAGCAGTTGCGAGGAAGTCATGGGAAAGGGAACGAACATGCTTATGATACAACTTGCATACCGTGCTGGCAAGAAGAATGTTGCGCATGTTCTTAGCCACCGAAGAGACCCCCGACCCTTTGAAGCAATAAACAACCTCGCCAACCTTGAATAAGAAGGGTTCTCTCCCAGTGACTACTATTTTGACCAACAATGGGTTGAGGATCCTAGCGAGTTCCCTTGGGGCCACCTTGTAGATGCAACTAGGTAGGCCATCAACACCAGGGGCCTTGCCTCTCCTATATGACCGCATATGATGTTGGAGATCGAAAAGGGTGGGGATGTAGGTAAGGGAGGCGCCTTCGGAGTCAACAATGCTAGGCAGGCCATTGTACTCATTAATCATGTCTGGTAGGGTTAAACGGTGTCCTCTCTCGACTTGACAAAAATGTTGTTGCATGTTGTCAGTGACCTCCGAATGTGAGGTGAGAACCCGTGGCGGTTGCTGGACCCCTTCAATTACCGTAGGTGGCACTACTCCCTCATCAGTCATAAGAGGCACAGTGTCGGAGGCAGGCGACGGCCCCTTCTTACGTCCTCCGTAGGTGAGAAGAGTGTTAAGTCCTTGCCATTCCGCTCGAGACATCCTCGCATCAACGGCAAGCTGGATATGTTGAGCCGTTGTATCGAGGAAGTCCGTGTGTTCCTGCTCTATCTGTATCCTAAGCGGTGCTTCGCTGTAAGAAAGAAAGTGTGTGATGCGGACCGCAAAGTCGTCACTAGATAAAGCTCCAAGCATATGCAACTGCGCTGAGAAACGCAAGATCTGAAACAGCTCAAGAAACGAAGTGGGCATGGAGTCGAGGCACAGGGCGCTGAGATCCCCTCGAGAGACGCGAGCAGCAAAGCGAGAGAGCGTGGCAAGATGCTGAGACAAAGAGGCGTCCATGCAAAGGTCTCCAAACCAACGTCTTAGTGCACGTTTAGCCCCTCTTCTGATTCTGATCATGTCCATTACTGGGGAGGACATGTACTCTTTGTTTGGCAGCTTTTGTGTGGTCCCAAAGCATTCCTGGCTGGCTTGTGAAATAGCCTGAGTAACGGCACTGCAATGGTTATTCAACTCAAGGTCCCAAGGGTGAAGATCCATCGTGAGTAGGGATTGCCTGAACTTTTCACAAGCCACAGGGCACTCGATTTTGCGGGGGTCAAGCTTGGTAGGGCTCCTGCTAACACCTTGCCGTTTCTCAGCTTGCTAAGAGAAGGTAGCATACAGTGGAAAATGATCTTTGCTAACCTGTCCCGTGTCAAACTCGGTTTCAACCCTGCAATGCGTTAAACGTGCCATCATGGAAGGAGAGGCGGCAACATAATCAATTATGTGTCTCGTGCCCTGATTGGAGATGTACGTGTATCCCTCTGAGCTCTGCATAAGGTGGGTGTTGGCCAGGGAAAGGTGGTTCGCT